AAAAAAAAAAAAAAAGATTCAACTTTGCCATATTGTGATTAGTTTATAAGCTTGATTCACATCGCTGGAATTTGACCTAGAAACAGATTGTCCTCAGAAAGTTGCACAAGTAATAATTTAGGAACAGAGGGGAGACGTGAACAGAGAGTGTGTGGGGAAGAGCGGGGGATGTGGAGTGAAAAGGGAGGAAGATAAATCTCTAGGAATAGCCTAAGTGAAGGACTCGTTGTTATGTGCCATCAAGTTGGCCCGACTCATAGCGACTCCTCCTTTGGTTTCTAAGGCTGGTATCACTACAGAAGTAGATTGCCCAACCTTCCTTCCGAGGAGTGGCTGGTGAGTTTGAACTACCAGCATTCTGGTTAACAGTCAAGTGCCTTAGGCACTATGCTACTTAGTGAAAACATTTTAGAGTCAGAATGATCTGGGCCCAAATCCTGGCTCTGTGTATGTCACTTACTCTCTCTGAGCTTCAATTTCTTCATCTGTAAAATGGGTCTATTAAAATACCTGGAACATTGCCTGGTAAATAGTAGGTGCTCAGTAAATGGAACACTGGTAATCTTTGCTCCCAGTGGCCATGACAGAAGCCTGATGAGGTGGCCCAACCCACCTGATCTTCCTTCCTCAGTTGTTGGCTCCTCTCATATCACAGCAGCCCACTAAGGAGGTCCCAAGTCAGCTCTGTCCAAGAGCTGTATGGGGCTCCATCAAAGGTGTGTCTCGGGTTCTTGGCCTGGCCAAGCAAGGGGAGGACTCTACATACCCCAAAGGAGATGTAGGCACCCAGCAGGCTGCCGGCAATTGTGGCGTAGCCTCCAGTCATGACAACGTGGATTTCAGACAGCGTCATATCTGCCAAGTAGGGCCGGATTAGGAGAGGAGCTTCAGTCTGCAAATAGGAAGGACATCAGACTCCAGAGCTGACCAGGCCAGGGACAACCCCCTATCCCTTGGGAGTAGGACCCTCATAGTGAGTGCCAAGGTGTCCCAGGGTACAGATAATGGTCTGTACTTGGCTGTGCCTTTCTGACCTTTAGCATCAGCCCAAAGGAAGGACCTCTGGAAGGACCACCATCCTTCCCTATAAGCTTGATAAGGCTCCCTGGGGTTGAGTGGCCCCCACGTGCCAGGCATCCCACTAAGCACCTCACGTACATGACCACACATGACTCCCAGCCTTCTGCAATAACTGCAATCACCCCCATTTTCCAGGAAAGCAAAGAGAGGCTCAGAGAAATTCAAAGAATTGCCCCTGGTTACACAAAGTGACAGGAAGCAGGTCTGACTCAAGCCGTGAGGTTTTGACGAAGCTATGGGGATTTCCAAGAAAAGGGAGCTGGGGCATTGAATGGTATGTTTACTTCAGGGCCTCTAGGACAGCCTGGAGCCTTTGACTCATTCATTCAATAGGTATTGAGCACCTACTATGTGCCAGGCACAGTTCTACAGAATAAGGATACAGGGGTGAACAAGATAAAGTCCCTGCCTTCACGGAACATACATCCTGGGAGTAGTGAGGAGGGCATGAGGGAAGAGATGGGGAGGAAGAAAGGAGAACAGATCATCAAGAAAACAGAGTAACTTTACTCATTGCCATCAAGTCACTTCCAACTCATAGCAATGCCCTTTCAGTTTCTGAGGCAGTAAATCTTTACAGAAGTAGATTGCTCCATCTTCCTTCCACAGAGCAGCTGATGGGTTTGAACCACCAACCTTCTGGTTAGCAGTCAACTGCCTGAGGCACCACGCCACCAGAGCTGGTTTGACTCACTGCCTACGAGTCAGATCTGACTCCTAGCGACCTCTCCTTGGGTTTCTGAGGCAGTATCACTATGGAAATAGATTGCCCAACCTTCCTTCTGAGGAGTGGCTGGTGGGTTTGAACCAGCAGCCTTCTGGTTAGTGGTCAAATGTCTCAGGCACTATGCCACCAGAGCTCCCAGTGTCATAGTAACCTAAAATTTATGGTTTTCTCAGGAAAAAAAAAAAAATCACATTGTAGTATGTCATATAAAGTAAGTGCTTTTGTATTTCTGGTATCCTCTTCCTCTTTTTGAACATTTTAAGGGATTTTTGAACAGTTTATCTGTGAACATGTCTGCCTTGATTGACTAAAAAAGAAAAAAAATGGAAATGTTCAACAATTAATACACTTGAACCATAGCAAAACAAAAACAAAAACAAAAAAAACTATGAAAATATTTTCCAAAGTGTCCAAAACTGTCCAGCTTTCCATGGCCACCCATTCTACTTTGGGATGCCTCCAACAGAGCTCCTAATTATTTGACAAGTATTCCTCTTGCTGACTCGAGTCTCAAGCAGATGGACCTGGATGGATCCTAAAATAGTCTTCAGAGTCTCACCTTCAGGAAGGTCAGGGTCTTCTGAAAGGGATACAGGCCTAATAGTTCCCTATAGTGCCTTCAGAGCCAGATTTACTTTCAAAAATGTGTTTTTAGAAAGGGGAGGGAGTGGGAGGGGAAAAAAAAAAAAAAAAAAAAACAGACAAGATGATGTTGTGAAAAGAACACTGGCCAGGAAGGAGAAGAATTGGATTCTAAGTCTTGGCTTACAAATATGGGATCTTGGCTAAATTATTCCCATTCAGTGAGCCTGTTTCCTCATGTTTAAAAGGAGAAAGCTGGACTCCCTCTGTAGATTAGTGAGTCTCTAAACTGATGAAAAGGAGCTCTGGTGGCACAGTGCCTAAGCCATTTGACTGCTAACCAGAAGGTTGGTGGTTCAAACCCACCAGCCGCTCCACAGAAAGAAGAAGGGATAATCTACTTACGTAAGGTTTTACTGCCTCGAAAACCCAAAGGGGGTCACTGTGAGTCAGAATTGACTTGAAGGCAATAAATTTTGTTTGGTTTTGGTAAATTGATGAAGACAGACTAAGCCTAGTATGATGAGATGCCAGACAGATGCCATCTTCCTAGGCAACCCAAGCAAAGTGTGCCCTAAAGCATTCATGGGACAACAGCTTTTGGTGGCTTTGGGAGAAGTTTCAGATGGCCTGTGCGCAACTGAATCCAAACTCTGGAAACCCAGGGCACTCCACCTTCACCAGGGATGCTGCTGCTGAGCAAGTGGACAGGAGATTGCAGCACTCACCTGGCTCACAAAGATGTTCCCCGCCACACTAAGGGTCTCAGTGGCCGAAGTGCCCATAGTGATCTGCATCAGCCAGGCAATCTAGAAGGAAGCAGGGCAATTTGTGAGCTGTTATCACCAAACCCTACAGTCAGACAAAATCAGGCCTGGAAAATAACTCCTAGTCAACTCCCAACCCAACGTAGGATCCCTTACCTATGTTTCCCCAAAAGGTCCTTCATCTTCTCCTTCTGCACCTCAATTGACTGGGCTTACCAACTTCCCATGGCTACCCATTCTACTTTGGGATGGCTCCAGCAGAGCTCCTAAAATGTGTGTCCTCAGTTCTCCATTCTAAAAGGATCCCCTGGTCAAATATATTTGGGGATTTCCATATACATACTCCTGTGTGTATACCAATACACATGAGCTTAGTAAAGGCTCTGAGAAGTCCTGCACGAAAGAAACTTATTTCAATTTGTTTAGCCTAGTGTTTCACGTACCTTCCAAAAAAACATTGACCATGGAATCACTTTACCTGGTAACATTTATTAACATGCTGTGGAACTAGAGTTTTGTGCAAGAGGCTTTAAAAATACTTATTATAAAGTTCTTCCTTTTAATCAAGAGGAAATCTGCTTCCCTAGAATTTCTGTACACTGCTGGAAACTCACAAGGAGCTCTGGCGGTGTAGCACCTAAGGCATTTGACTGCTAACCAGAAGGTTGAAAGTTCAAACCCACCAGCCACTCTGTGGAAGGAAGACTGCACAATCTCCTTCTGTAAAGATTAGCTGCCTTAGAAACCCAGAAGAGGTCCCTATGAGTCGGAATCAACTCGATGGCAGTTAGTTTGGTTTTTTTTTTAGCTGGGAACTCTCAGGCTGCCCTTTCTCTAATTTCTCTTCTGTACGAATTTGAAAACAGCTATTCTCCAGTGGTGTAGTGGTTAAAGCATTCAGCTGCTAACCAAAATGTCGGTGGTTGGAATCCAGCCACTCTGGGGGAGAAAAATGAAGCAGTCTGCTTCTGTAAAGATTTACTGTCTTAGAAATCCTATGGGACAGTTCTACTCTGTCCTATAGGGTCACTATGAACTGAAACTGACTAGATGGCAGTGGGTTTGCTTTGGGTTTTGGATTCTATTGCTGAAATAGGAATCCCTGGGTGGTCAAACAGTTAACACATTGACTGCTAACTGAAATCTTAGAGGTTTGAGTCCACCCAAAGGTGCCTCAGAAGAAAGGCCTGGATATCTACTTCTGAAAAATCAGCCACTGAATACCCTATGAAGCACAGTATTACTCTGACACACATGGGGTCACCATAAGTTGGAGTTGACCTGATGGCAAGCGGTTTTATCCTACCCCTGACTGCCTCCACCCTGCTTTCTCCTGTCCAGGCCCTAGTTCCTCCAAGCATTCTATGAAAGGTATGGTTTCAAACCCTTTCACTCTCCTGGTTATACTTCAGTTTGTCATAATCCCTTAGCTGAACACATTCTCCTGATTTGAGGACAAACCCCTCCTTCATGTCATGTACTGGACACTTTTAATATAACTGTATGTTGTTTGTGCATTTTTGGCAGCCACCTACCAGTGGTGGTTCATTCCAAACTCAGTCAGCTAAAAGTTAAAAATCTTTTGCATGTCCAATGTTGTTCAATGAGGTCTCCTACATGCTGGTTTTATACAGCAGATTTTATAAAGGTAAGCCCAGGAGCTGACGTTTGTACCAGCTAAATCTGGTCAGGGTAGCCCACTGCTACAGTCTCTCAAAATCTTTTTGGTATACCTTTTTTCCCTCTAAGACCTCTTAGTGCAGCCTTCCCTCTCAAAAAAAAAAAAAAAGACTGCAGCCTTCCCTCTCACAAAGACCACATTGAATTTTGGTCCCATTTCTCTTTAATATCATGACAGGAGACTCTGTGAAAGGATAGTTGGTTAGCAGTAGACTCTGGGGAGGGGGTAAGCCCTGCAAGTAGGAGATTCTAGGAAGGTATGGACCTCAGGAGCAAGGGATTCTGGAAGGATTTAGAATCTGTGAGCAAGTGATTCTGGGAGGGTATGGACCCTGAAAGCAAGGCATTCTAGAAGAGAATGGACTCTAGGAGTAGGGAACTTTAGGAGAACCCAGGCCATGGGCAATGGGAACTCACCTTCATGATCACCCATGGCATGAGGCCCACATAATAGAGAACTGACATGACACAGCTGAAGAAAACAATGATGGGCAAAACCTGCAAGGAAAGAAAATATAAAGACTCTAGGTTAGGGAAAGGCAGGTGCTAGGGAGCCATGTACATCCCAGGAGACCCCAGATAGTCCACTCCATCCAAGGTCTTACCACTTAGAGATCTGACAGGATGAGGAAAGAAGCTATGAGTCCAGTACATGAAATAATAAGTGTCCTACACCATAGTCGCAGGGGACATCAAGCTCAATTGGCATAACATACTATACAAAACATTGTTCCACCTCCTACTTTGGCGAGTAGCTACTGGGATCTTAAAAGCTAGCAAGCTGCCATCTAGATGCAACGATGAGTCTCTCTTCATCCAGAGCAAAGAAGAATGAAGAAGACCAAAATTCATGGAAACAATTAGTCCTAGCGACTGGTACACCATCCAATCTGCAACCTATACAACTATGAGGCCAGAAGAACTAGATGGTGCCCGGCTACCACTGTCATCCACTCAGAAAAGGATCTATGTAGGAGATCCTGGATAGAGAGAGAGAACAATGTGGAACAAAACTCAAAATCATTTGGAGAAAAAAAAAAGGGGAGGGACCAGGTTTGCTCGTCCAATAGAGCCTGGTGGAACCACTGAGACTATGGCCCCTAGCTGCCCTTCAGGTCTGGAATTGAACCCACACCTGTGGTTTCCAGCCAAACAAAGTACAGGCATGTGAGTTAAACATTTACTTCAAGTAGATACTCTCCTTGGAGAGAACAATCATGGGAGAAAGAAGGGCTGCTTATGCACAGGGAGACAGCTCAGGGGGCAGGAGAGTATGGAGGGATGGACACTGGGAAGAGGTAACTATGGGGAGGAAGTGGGAGGGGAGCTGTTGCATTGTAGTAAACTGTGGTCAATGACATAAGACAAAGTGAATTTGCTCTGTAAATCTTCACTCAAATCACAATTTAAAAAAATTAAATTAAAAAAAAGAAAACCAAAACCATTATAAATAAATAAATAAATAAGTGTCCTACATATAGTGACTTTTTGGAGGCACTTCTATCCTCTCTGTTCCCTCCAAATAATTACCACCCACCATGTCATCTCTATCTCCGTTTACCATAGATGAGACCCTGTGCTGTGGTTCAAAGAGCAGATTCTGAATTCACATTATTAGCATCTACTCCTTTGTTTGTAAGATGGGGATAAAAATCTCTCTGGGTTGTTGTAAGAGCTAAAGTAGCTGGCTCAGGGAAGCACCTTGCAGTGTCCACTCTCTTCAGTGAGCTCAATCCCTGGCCTATGACACTGGTCCTAACTTCCCTCAGTGCTTTGGGCCTGAATGAAGGAAATTTCATCTTTCTGGTATTCCATCTACACTCAATACCAACAAGCTTAGAATCAGACTCGCCGTGGACCTCCAACCAGCATCTTCTCCTGTCATTCTGCTTTCTGTTGCAGGTTAACACTTCACTCACTCCCAGCCTCATCACTTCTTCCTTCACAACTTCTCTCACATCCATTCCCTCCTCTCCAGGCCCATGACCCCACCTGGTGCTTATTTACTATAGTTTTACTTATAATAACAAAGTCTTGTAGCAACTTAAATGTCTTTCCATGGAGGACTAGTGCAGTAACCTCTGTGATGGCCATATAATGGTGCACTAAAAAGTCATGAAACAGGAATGAGGATATTCTCTATGGGCAGATATAAGATGAGCCACTGGGTGATGCAAATGGATAATGTGCTTGGCTGCTAACTAAAAGGTTGGAGGTTTGATTTCACCCAGAGGCACCTCGGGAGAAAGATCTACCAATCTGTTTCCAAAAACATTGGCAATTGAAAATACTATGGAGTCATAACTTCAAATTCTTATGGGCTCCAGACTTTCTGGAGCCATGGAGGGGGTGAATCTCTGAAAGTATTGCCCTGAGATAATCTGTAAACCTAAAACCAAAAATATCCCCTGAAGACTTCTTAAAACCAAACAATAGTTTAGCTTAACTAGTAAAAAAAAAAAATGTCTGCCTTGAGCATTAGTTCCTTTTTAAGAACTATATGTATGAGATCAAAGTAACAACAGCAATCTTGAAAGATTATATAGGAATTTAGGGGGCAGTAGATTATGTTAATGGGGGAGGAACAACTCAAAAAAGGAAGGTGAGAATGGTTGCACAACTTGAAGCATAGTTCCAGCACACATAAGCAACTACTTTGACTCCTCCTTCCAGAGGAGCTCTGGTGGTGTAGTGCCTAAAGCTAACCAGAGGGCTGGTGGTTCAAACCCACCAGCCAGTCCTTGGAAGGAAGATTGGGCAATCTACTTCCATAGTGATACCGCCTCGGAAACCCAACGAGGGACCACTATGAGTCTCCACAGCAGTGAGTTTGGTTTTTAGTTTGGACTGCCTTCCAGCATTTTTTTCTATGCTTTTAATTCCAATTTCCTCACATAACATTTTAGCTTAAGAACGCCCCATGTTATTACCAATTCTGCATGACTTATTATTTTAAAACTGTTGGGAACAGATAACACTTGAATAGAGCAAACATTCCAACAATACAAATGGGTGTATGGTAAGGAGTAAGTTTTCTTCTCACCCCTAACCTCAAGTTACCTACTTCCCTCCCTAAGGCATCAGTCATTTACATATGTTTCTAGTACTATTCCATGTCCATACAAAAACATTACATGTGTCAGAGTAGAAGTATGCTCCATAGTGAATTTTGTTTGTTGCTGTTATTGAGAATATATACAGCAAAACATACACCAATTCAACCATGTACAATTCAGTGACATTGTTCCTATAATTTTCTATAATGGGAGGAAATTTCTCAAGGGGAACATAGGCAGAGGAAATGTTTAGGGGAGGGTCATCAGTTTGGTTTTGAATTTGCTGGGTTTGAGATGTCCATGGAACATCGAAGTACAATGTTGAAGGAGCAATTAGATAAAAGGGTCCAGAGGTCAGGAGAGAGACCTGAGCCAGCCCTGGTTTGGAACTTTTTCCACACAGATGTGCAGGTTGAGGTCATGGGTCAAAACTACAAAACACAACTACCAAAACCAAAAGTCACTGCCATCAAGTTGGTTCTGACTCATAGCAACCCGTCCTTGGGTTTCTGAGGCAGTATCTCTATGGAAGTATATTGCCTAGTCTTCCTTCTAAGAAGTGGCTGGTGGGTTTGAACTGCCAGCCTTCCGATTAGAAGTCAAGTGCCTCAGGTACTATACCACCAGAGCTCCTATGACAGGAAACCAAAAGAGACCTACATCAATGGAAGACTATATCATGTTCATGGATAGGAAAAGTTAACATCATAAAAATGTCAATACTACTCAAAGTGGTCTACTGATTTAATTCAATCTTGATCCACATTCCATCATCATTCTTTAAAGAGATGGAAAAAGTAATCACCAATTTTTTATGACAGGAAAGAGACCCTGGATAAGTAAAGCACTACTAAAGAAGAAGAACAAAGGTCTCACCCTCCTTGATCTCAAAACCTATTACACATCCACAGCAGTTAAAATAGCCTGGCACTTGTACAATGACAAACCTAGAGACCAATGGAATAGAATTGAGAAACCAGAAGTAAATCCATCCACTATGGACAGCTGAGCTTTGTTGAAGGGCCAAAACTCATTGAATGGGGAAGAAGTGGTCTCTTTAATAAATGGTGCTGGCAAAACTAGATATCCATCTGTAGAAAACTGAAACAGAACTCATATCTCACACTATAAACAAAAGTAAACTCAAGTTGGATCAAAGACCTGAAAACTATAAAGACCATCAAAGAAAGATAGGGATAAACTTAAGGGCCATAATGCATGGCATAAATACACAATTGACCATAAACAAAAGAAGAAAGAAATGCCTGTCTGCATGTGCCTCTATAAAAAGGTATTTTGTGTGTGTGTGCCTTAGCTTTTTTTTTTTTTCCCCCAGAATTGTTGTTTATTTGTTTATGTGGTATTTTCCCTCCATATCTGGTAAACTATTGCCACTCTGATATCACTTTTCACTCTATCTCACAGAATCATAGAGTGAGTGAATGAGGAGCCATTAATAAAAATCCTATAGGAATAGAGGCGGGGCAAGATGGCGGACTAGGCAGAAGGATTGCACAGACCCTCTTCAACAAAGAAAAGGGAAACCAATTAACACAGACACAGAAGATAATC